GGACACTCCAGGCGGTTTTGTGGGGGGTTTAGGGTTAGGGTTTAGGGTTTAGGGTTTAGGGTTCAGGGTTTAGGGTTTAGGGTTTAGGGTGTAGGGTTTAGGGTTTAGGGTTTAGGGTTTAGGGTAAGGGACCCTAATCTAGTACCCTAAATAGTAGGATCCGAGCTCAAAATGACTGGGCTACTCGGTTTAGGGTTTCCAGACCCCAAGGCCCAAATCGAACAGTTCCCGGCTGTGCCATCGGCGCTATGCACGAAGCATCTGAAGTTGGGGAAGCCTAGAAAGTCTCGCAACCCTAAACCCTAAACCCTAAACCAAGGAAGGGCGGTCGCACTTTTAGACCTCGGCCTCCTTCCAGGTTTGCACGTGGCTGGCATTCACTTTCAGGGGCACCTTGAGCTTGAAGGGGAGCGGGTCTTCCATGAGGCGAACCAACTCTGCCAGGGCCTCCTTGGCATTCTCCTCGGGTCCTTCCATGAGCAGCTCGTCATGGATCTGCAGCACGAGATCATAGCCAAGCCTTCGGAGAACCTCCGAGCGTTCCACCTTCACCATGGCGCTCAAGACAATGTCGGCAGCACTGCCCTGCACCGGTGTGTTGCCTGCCACGCGCCGCGTGCGCCCGCGCTCTTTGAAGGATGGCCCAGTCAGCCGGCCCAGCTGACGTTGCCGGCCGAGCAGTGTCACAGCTGCGGCGCTTCGGTCGGCGTTTTGGTACAACTGTTTCATCCAAGCCTCGATCTCTGGGAAAGTTCGAAACCAGCGATCGAATATGCCAGATGCCTCCCCTTGGCTCAAATCCCAGTCCTTGCCCAAAGAATAAGCGGTCTTCCCATACAGCAAAGAGAAATTCAGTGTTTTGGCGCGCCTGCGTAGCTCCGGAAAATGATCCTTCACCGTCGCCACTCCCCCAAACTCGCCCTCCAAAGCCACCTTCCCATCATCCACACTCTGCCGAACCTCCTCGAACATGTGGTAGGCAGTTCGGGAGTGGATGTCGCCTCCCTGAGAGAGGATGGAGATCATGGTGGGGCAGTCTGACAAGTGTGCTACCAGCCTAAGCTCCAGCTGGCCATAGTCCGCCACGAGCAGCCGCTTTCCTGCAGGAGCCGCCACCACGGAGCGCACGGTGTGGCCGCCGCCCTTCGGCTCGCCCTGCAAGTTCGGGCTGCGAGTGGACAGGCGGCCCGTGGCCGTGTTCAGGTTCAGCTGCGCATGGACCCGATCTCCATGACAGGCGCTCTGCAAGGGCCGCAAGAAGCCCAACTGTGCCTCGTGCTGGCGCCAGGATAGCAAACTCTGCAGGGGCTCGGCGGCCTCCGATTGCAGCTCCTTCTCCCGCTCGGCGAGTGCCTGCAAGGTCTCCAAAGTCAGCTGCACACTGCCCGTGCGAGCTGTGCGGGTCACCATGTCGTCCATGTCCAGACAGAGACCCTGTAGCTTGAAGGGCGGTGGGGCACGCCGCGCCCTGGACTCTGCCTGAACTTGAGGATCCGAAAGGCGCCGGATGAGATCTGCCTTCTTGCCACTCACCATCAGAGCCCGGTCTCTGCAGAGCTCTTTCAGCTCTGGAATTTTGAGGGAGGACAGCTCCGCTTCTGGCAAGAGCTGGATGGCAGGCTCCTCTGCCGGGACAGAGCCGGGAAACTCTCTCTCACCCGAACCAAAGAGCAAATGGGCCACCTGCTGGTTCGAGTTCAAGTTCAAGGCAGGGGCCGAAGCCTCCTCCAGCCCACCCGAACGGATCGCCCAGCTGCAGAAGACGTCTTGCAATGATGCCTGAGCCGCGGAACTCTCGGAGATCAGGGCCTCCAGCCTCTGCCGGTTCACGGGAACACCCCGAAGCTCCATGTCGGAGAGCAGCATGGCCAGGGGCTGCCAGTGCTCAGTGTAGAAGTCCAGCAGCGAGGCCCTCGATGCAGGAAGGGCCTCCTTGGGGGCCTGCCATGCCTGCTCCGCCAATCTCGATTCGAGCTCCTGGTGCAGGTAAAAGACGGCCGCGGCGCTGTCTGCACAGAGCTGGATCCAGTCCTCCCGGCATCTCCCCTGCTGCAAGTCAGCGATCTTCTTGCTGCCGCTTTCCTGGGCTCTTGTTAGGGGATTTAATTTAAGTTACCCCTAATAAGGAAACCCTAGTGTTTACTATAGAGCCCTATTATGGTAACTTAAATAAAATCCTTTAACAAGAACCCAGTTTCGCCCTGAGGTCGCTGCAGCTTCCAAGTTGCCCCCAAGAGGGTCTTTGCCAGCCATGCCAAGGAGTAGGCCCCCTCGGAGGTCAGCTCGTTCAAGGTCGGATCCCAGAGGCGTGCCAGGTGCATCACATCCGCTACGAAGCCACCTTTTTCTGGGATGTGTGGCATGCATCCCCAGCTCAAGCCACGCTGCGTCTCCGCGTAGACGTGGTAAACCTTCTTCAAGGGATCTGCCAGAAAGTCCCTCCACAAGCCACGCATTTCCTCAGACGTCTCCAGGAGATCCACCCAGACCTTGGTGCGGCCCTCCTCCCCCAGACACAGGGAGGACCCTCCATAGATCGCGAGGCAGACGGGCCTCGGATCCGTGTCATCGCTCGCCGAGAACACGGCGAAGGTTGCGTCCGGGTAGCTTCGCAAGAGCTCCAAAGCATCCCGGGCTTCCTCCGGCGTCCGAACTTCGAGCACCTTGCCGGTCTCTTGGCGCTCGGGCGGCCTGCTTAGAGGTCGACTGAAGTCTGCGTCCCCGACCTCCCCGCGCTCTCCCTCCAAACGGCCCGTGTCGGCCGTTTTGGCGCCGCTTCTTAGACGCTCCTTCAGCTTTGTCATGTCCTCGGAGTCGCAGAAGATGGCGACATGGTCATGCCAGGACTCATCCCTCTCGGGCACTCTCAACCTCTCGAACTCCGGCTCCACCGACACTTCCTTGAGCCGAACGACCTGCTCCAGGAGCTGCAAAGCTCTGGGCCCTTGCTCGCACAAAACTCGGCAGAGCCTTGGGGAGATGCCTTTGACGGAGAGTGTGCCCTCTTGCGCCCGTCTCACGATGGCTTTGAGGCTGCCGCAGTGCTGCAGCAGTGCTGCTCCTCTCTTGGCCCCGATTCCCTGAACTCCCGGGATGTTGTCGGCGGCATCTCCCATGAGTGCGAGCAAGTCTGGCATCTGCTCCGGTCGAACACCCCACTTGTTCCAAACCTCAGCCTTGTCCATCGAGAGGAAGGGAGCCTGGGGGTTTCGTGGATCGCTGTAGAGCAGCTCCACCTGATCGCCCACCAGCTCCAGCAGGTCCTTGTCGCTTGACACGATCTTCACGCGGCCACTGGGAACTTCGGCGCTGAATCGGCGTGTGTAGGAGGCGATGACGTCATCGGCCTCGAAGTCCTCGTGCCTCCGCCATGGCACGCCCATGGCACTACAGGCTTCTATGACCTTCGGGACTTGCACAAGAAGCGCCTCAGGACAGCTCCGATGCTTCTTGTACCCTGGCAGCACTTTTTGCCGTGAGAAAGACGAGGTTTTGCTGTCCAAAATCACTGCCATGTGCGAGGGCTCACACTCGCGGTGGATCCTCTCGAGCTGCTGCATGAAGCTGTACACGACATTTGTTGGTTCGCCTCGCCGGTTGCAAAGCCCGGTGTCCTTGGTGGCATGGAAGCTCTTGTACATGTGATAATGTCCATCGACGAGGGTCATGATTGCATTGGAAGCGCAGCGGACGGAGACCATCCTCTGCCGGATCACCTTCGCAGCCAAAGCGAGGGTGGCAGCTGCCCGGATCTCCCAGGCCCGATTGCTTTGAAGACGCCTGAAGGCCTGCATAGCACCCGGACGGACTCCTGTCCTCGCGCCTTCCAGGCGCAGGGAGACCGGTCCCCCCCTCGGCGCCCCGACAGTCCCCGGCCCCAACCGGCCCAGGCTCGCCATTGTACTTGAGCCACGAGGAAGCATTTATGGGCGCTTGCAACTCCCTGTGTGAAGTGCCCCGAAATTGCCTAAGAAGGTCTTGAGAAACGAAACATTGGCTGTTATGCTTGCAGGGAATTCCTGCCTGTGCTTCACATGGAGGAGTCGAAGCTATGAGTCTAGTGTAGTTTGTAGAATCGTATTGCAGTGTGGGAGTTTGGCCCTCGCCACTCCTCAAATCCATTCCTCACCAACTCTTTCCGGAGGTTGGGGTGACTCTTGGGTTGCCTCTGGGCAAGCGTTTGGCGTTTCAGGAAGTGAGGGCCTCATATAGAGCCTGAAAATGCCATCCTGAGCAGAACTCCGAAGGAGCCTACCTTGACTCCTAAGAAGCCTGTAACTGTATGTTCCAGGGCTGTGAAAACATGCAAGGCCAAGTGCGGGGCCAGGTTGGCCAGGTCCGGCGGCAGGCGATGGTCGTAAGCTCCCCGCTTCTGGCCACGGGCTGTTTAGGGTTTAGGGTTTCAGCACTCACAACTGGGACAAGGGCTTAGGGTTTAGGGGCTGTCAATGCAGACTGAATGGTTTCTTGGCCAGGAGTAAAGGGTGACCCTAAACCCTTTTGCAACAGGCTTTCCACTTCGCCCGGAGTTGGACCCTAAACCCTAAACCCCAAACCCTAAACCGTAGTGACTGAGTAAAGGGTTGTAGGACCACTTCGAGCAGATAGTTTCCGATCCTCAACCCTAAGCCACAGCTGGGGAAGTTCTTTTTCAGTCCTGTTTTTGATGAGGGCTTGCAGTGCATATGCCTTGAGTAGCCTGCACCCTAAACCCTACAGCCCTAAAGCCCTAAACCCTTAAATTAAAGCCCTAAAGCCCTAAGCCCTAAAGCTTAAAGCCCTAAAGCCCTAAGCCCTAAAGCCTAAAGCCCTAAAGCCTAAAGCCCTAAAGCCCTAAAGCCCTAAAGCCCTAAGCCCAAAAGCCCTAAAGCCCTAAGCCCCAAAGCCTAAACCCTAAACCCTAAACCCCAAAGCCTAAAGCCCTAAGCCCTAAACCCCAAACCCAAAAGCCCGAAACCCCAAAGCCCTAAAGCCACGGCCTTCCACGGCTTTGCGCCGAGCTCGGCAGCGGCCGAGGATCCGGCTGCTGCTCGGGGCGCGGGCCGCGTGGGTAGCTCAATCGGGGCCTCAGGGGAAAGGGTTTGAGGGTTTAAAGGGTTTAAGGTTTAAGGGCTTAAGGGTTTTAGGGTTTATAGGGTTTAGGGCTTGAGGGTTTTAGGGTTTAGGGTTTATGGGTTTCGGTGGAAAGGCCCCTACAGGGGGGAGTTCAGGGTAAATGGGGCTTCTATATAAGGTATATAGACCTTCTCTAAGGCTCCTATGACGGTAACTACCCACCAGAAAATGTCTCAGAGGAAAGGCCCCCAGTCCGGGTAAGCCTTGCAGAAGATTTACTAAATACGACAACATGGCGATAATGTGCGACACAAGAATTAATAAGAGGCTTTCATATACTATAATATACTAGAGTTACTAGAACGTTTTCAATGCGTCCTTCGAAGGATAGGGACAGGGGGGGGAAGGTCAACGAATACACACTGCATCCGCCCCAGCGTTGACAGCGGGCGGGCGTCATACTTCGCATATGATCTCAGCCTCATTCCTTGTATCTGGTTTGACGGGCTGCACCCTGCCCACGTCTCGTCATCTTATCACTCTTGCACTTGGCCGATGTTGGCGCGAATCTAGCACCTCATCTTCATACCCCTACTGTGTAGAAACATGGCGCAAGCCGTTATCTTGATCAAAGCAGAAAGCGTGCGTGTGCGCTCATGAACACATGCTGTAGACAGGTAGATGGAAAGGAAAGAGTAGAAGATTAGTGCTGAAGCGGGGGTGCGAGATCGATAGAGATGGAAGACAAAATGAACACATCTGTAAAGTGTATGGGAAATGCAGGTCCACGTTTGCCCGGGCGTGGCATGAATTTGTGGCTTTTCTGCATGTTTCGACGAATGCATTGGAGACATCGCACCAATCCGAATTTAGGTGACCAAGACTAGTCGGCAAAGCATCATGGTGGAACCCGCACACATTGTGCCGGTATCAGCGGAAAGTTGCTCACAAACTTACCAAACCTGGATACGAACAGTTAATTACACGCGATGTAACGGCCATGCCGAAATCCCCTGAAAGTTCATTGTCAAGTCTTCAACGTTCTAGCAATGGCTGCTTCCACGCAGCGTCGGCGTCGCATCGTGCCCAGACAGAGCCATCAGACCACCTGCATGCTGCACAAATGTGCTCAACGAAAATGCTGATTGGACTCTTGCGAATGCATACATTGCATGGGGACCTGATGAGGTCGTCGGCCAGGGTGCCGACGCGTCCGTACATGGTCAATTCGTTCCGCACCTGGGAAACCAGACTGCCATGAGCTCTTGCAGCAGCCACGGCTGTGACGAATCTAGCAAGGCACGGCCATTCCACAGCTGGACTCCCCACCCGGAGTCCGCTCCATGACGATGGAGCCACTCTGCTCCTGAAGGGGGCAACGCAAGGGTGATCGAACTCTGAACCTTTTCCTTTCCATGAGCATGCCGAGGCATGCTTGGACGTCAGTAGTTGGAATGCCACCCTTCGTCATGCAAGCAAGCACACAGACATGCACACCTCTGTCTTTGCATGTGCTCTATGAGAGCTTAGATAGGGTGAGACTGGACAAGCTACACTTGCAACTGACACATGCATGCAAACATGCATATCTGCAAACACATTACTCATGTCTGTCGGTATGTGTGCATGGCGTGCATATGCTTGAGCATGAGCCTGCGTATAAATGATCGAATGTGTGCACGTGTGCATGGATGCATGAACACCTGCACGTGTTTGTGTGTGTGCACATGTATGCATGCAGACATGCATGCATGTAGGCATGTGCTTGCATACCTGTGAATCTCTGTATGTGTCCGTGTTTCGCCAGATAGATGAACTATTAGACCAGCGAGTTCGACCTTACGGGTACATAGACACAGATGGACACGTGCCATGTACATGTGTACAGCCCGAGAGCGCGCCAGCACGAAGTCAATGCCAGTGGCATCCATCCAGGTGCCAGTAAAATCATCGTTGTGCCCAAGAGGTCGGCTGTAAATGGGAACCTTCCACCAACTGGGCTTGCAAATTATCGTTGTCAAAACGGGTGCTTCACAACAAAAACTGTAGAAACGGTAACTCTGACTTAGGAGGAAAAAGGAGTGCCCAATGGGCTCTGGCAGCCTCTTGCGCCTGAGACTGGCGCTGCCCGATCATGCTCGGGTTCTCGCGAGCCACGCGCGCCACTCGGGCAGCAAAGGTCGCTTCCGCAAAGCGCTCCGTCTGCTCGGGAGCGACGTATTCCGGGACCGGCTCCGGCATTTCGGCAGTTGCTGGCTGGGGTCTCGATCTTGTGCTAGTGTTTGGGAGGACGGGCTCTGGTGGCGGGGCGAAGCCACGATTTCGGGCCGATCGTCGGGCTTTCTCCTGAGCCATGAGTCGCAGACGCCTCTCATGTACCTCTTCTCGATACTCGGGGGATGGCTCCTGTATGTACATGAAGGCAGGATAGGGCTCAGCTGCTTTTGGGGTTGCCTCGCTCTTCTCGGCCTCCTTTCTTGATGCACGCGCGAGGTTTGTGAAGGATCTCCACACCTCCTCCGGATCTAGGTCTACGTCCTCCTCCATCTCCTTCACTGGCCTTCGTGTCTGTGCCTGTGCCCTCTGCACCCTCTGGGTATCATCACGATCCAAGCTCCTGGGCTCTTGTCTAAGGGGTTTTATGTAAGTTACCGCTGTGGGGATCTATGGCAAAAAAAATTTGGTTTCTTTTTTATGGTAACTTCATTTAAACCCCCTAACAAGAACCAAGGCTCTTCAGGATCTGATCCAGGGAGGGCGTGGTGTCCTCCACGGTGTTCACGACCGGGCTTACGCCGGCCGCCCGAAGCTCGGACAAGCTGCAGATCTCCACCAGAGGTCGCCCCGTCTTCGTGGAGCTGGAGATCCATCCCTGCACCGCTGCTCCCTTCAAGACGTGAACCTGGGTTCTTTTTTGGGGGACTTAATTTAAGTTACCAAAACAAAGAAACCATATTTTAAGTTACCATGATAAAGAAACTATATTTTATGTTACCAAAATAAAGAAACCATATTATTTACCATAGATCCCTTTTTCCACAGGCTTGAACTGAGCTCGCCCGGCCATAGATCCCTAAACCCTAAACCCTAAACCCCCATTACGGTAACTTACATAAAATCCCTTAACAAGAGCCCAGGAACTTGAAGCCGAAAGCCGGCGCCATGCGCGGCTCCAACTCTCAGGACCTTGCAGAAGTCTCCCTTCTGGAGCATGGCCAGCTCTTTACCTCGGATCGCGCTTCTAGGGTTTAGGGCTTAGGGTTCAGGGTTTAGGGTTTAGGGTTTCTGACTAATACAAAAACAGGGAAATCCAGTCTCAGAGGAAGAAATGTCATTCGTATCCTGCTTTTCCCCTCTGAGGAGCTTCCGACCAACTCGCCATCTCGAATGGCGATGCTGTCGAGCACTTGAAGAAAAGCTCCTTGAAACCGCCCGGAGGTCACTTCGGGGGCCATGGCTGGAAATCGTCCGGAAGGTTGTGGTCGGGCCTACTGAAGTAAGCCACGTATCTCATCTGCCGACTAACGCAACAGAAAGCATCCGTCTGGCGCTCAAGTCCGGCTATGTGTGGCTACCCGTGCTGCACTGCTGCTCTGGCTGGGTTGGGGCTGTGCTGCTACTGTTCATCCCATGATTCAGCTGAACCCCCTCACTCCAGTGTCCGTGCACCTGAGCAGCCTGAGCATAGCGCAGCAGCGGCAAGATCTAAAGACGTCAAGGTGCAAAAACAACTCGGCCCGGAAAAGGCAGCAATGAAGGGACAAGTAGGTAGGCAGAACATGCCAAGCAACAGAGAATCACTGACCTGAGCAGCCTGGGGCAACACTGCGGTAGATAAAGTACTGCCCACTCGCTGGCCAGTATGTCTCACCTGGCCAGTTCTTTGAGGAACCACTCCCGCTCCCTGCTCTCCCTTCTTACGTGCTCGCAGCTGCATCTGCAGGCAGGCGACGGTCATTCACCTCAGAGAACAGCAAGGCTTGCATCGACTCTGTGCCTAAGTCATCGCCCAAGCGATATTGCACGGCCAAGGGGCTCGGAATTCAGGAGAGTTCCGCTCCACGAACAAGGCATTGAGCGCAGGGTTCTGGAAGCCTCCTCAGCCAAGCTACGCCCTGGATGTGCGACAGAGCGCCAGGAGCCTCCTACTCGGAACCCCGGAGCAAAGCCTCCACAGCTACGTGGACTCTGAGAGGCATTCCTGCGAAGCAAACTGGGTTTTTCTTAAGGGATTTCATTTAAGTTGCTATAATACGGAAACCATGCTATTTACTATGGATCCCTATTATGGTAACTTGAAGTAAAATCCCTGAACAAGAACCCAGCAAAGTCGGGCTGAGAGCCATGCCTAGCTTCACCGCCTGAAACTGCTGCCGCCTGCGGCCATCCATCATGTGGCTTAGGGCTTTTTTTGAGCACCTTTTTCCCCCTTGCCAATCCAGCTCAGCGGAATCCACATTTGCGGAAGGTTCTCTACCAGGCAACTAGCTTAGGGTTTAGGGTTTTTTTCCCACCCGCTTCGCTGACCAGGTCGCACTGCAGGGAAAACCCAGACTCCAAGACGACGATGACTGTAAGAGCAAAAGCGGTAAATCCCAGGCAACTGCACTCTCGAAAGGAAAGACCGCGTAGGCTAAGAAAACAAGAGTGCAGCGCGTAGGACATACCAGGGCCGTAACCTGACAACGTCCTCCGACTACCCCGAACAACCCCCTTCGAACCCGGTTCGAGGACTGGTCATCAAGTTATCACTCCATCAGGGATACAGTACAGGAGTAGGCCACGGTAGAAAAGAAGTTTATTACAAACTCCCACAGGGGCCTCACTACTGAAAGGCAACACGCAGTAAACTACACCCCCATTACGAATTAAAAATTAAGTAAATTCAGCTGACAGAATTACGAATTAGGCATGCAACTTCACAAACGACATCCACCGTGTCACACCAGGGCTTTTGCGCAGAGTCAGTCCAGAGTTTGCAGGGTGATGATCTCACTGTCGAAGCCTCGGCCATCACGTCGAGCAGGGCGTCCCCTTAACCAGCAGAGACACTCGACATCCTCCAAATGCTCGCATTGTCACGAGCGCAGGCAAACGTTCAGCTTGTCAGGAAGTCCTACATATTTGCCCTGAAGTGTCGTCGTGACCCCCATTTGGCGGCACTGCCAGACACTATATGTCATAGGGGCCCGGGGATTCACGTGTCACGGCCCGGAGCAGCCTGCTTTGGCAGTAGCCAGCGTCATCAGTAAGAAGTCTCTCAGGTCAGGCATGAATACAGCCCAAGATAAGCTTCCCGTTGAAACACGGAGACGACGTGTAGTTCTCGGCCGTCGAGCACACAAAACTTTGCAGGTCAGCAAGCATCGACTCTACCCACTTCCGAAGACACCCCCATTCCGTACAGTATTTCAGTCATGTAGCTGAGAGAGAACACAGCGGTCTCATCATAATTCAAATCGGTGCGTCAAACTCAGAGTGCGGGCCTAGGCCTCCAAAGGCCGAAGCCAAGTCCATGTCCCAGTCCCAGATGTCGGCCACAGCCAGTGGAGTAAATCAGCGCGCAGCTCACTCACAGAAGCCATGAGAGCAAGGAGTGAAACATGGCCCAGGTGCCGACTGCAGGGAGAGAAGAGGGCGAGAGAGGGAGAAGTGGGAAGGAAGATACGACGCGAGCGACCACGATTAAGGGTGCAGAACGGACGACGACGAATTCGGGCAGTACAGGCATTAGATTCTAAATTACATGCAGGCATTTACGAATTCGGAGACGTACGAACCACGAAGCAAAATGCAAGGATACGCACGACGACGATTGAGGGTGCAAAGATGCCAGGCTACGAATTAGCTACGAATTAGGTATTTGTTTGTTTTTTTTGTTTTAATTAGCAGAGCTAGAGGCCGCTCCAGTGTTGTCGGCAGCTTCGTCCTCCGACGAGACATCCCACAAAGGCACTTCCTCCCAGCTCCTCTTGCGACTGGGTTGCCAGCCCTGCGACAGGTTGGTCTGTCTAACAATTCTATTGCCATAATATGTGGAGAGGGCGAAAGTTTCCATCTCAGAAGCATCCAAAGGCGGCCTAAATCCCAAAGCCTCAAGCTCAGCTCTGAAGTTAGGGCAGGTGTTGACTGAGACCTGGGGGGTGAAGGCAGTCAAAATTTTTCTTTCCTCCCCGTCCCACTTCTCAGTCCCGTGCAGAAGGACCTTAGACGAGAAGACGACTGGTCGGTATCCAACATCATGAAAACGGCCTAGTCGTACAGTGGATTCATCCCCACCCGCCGGCCACCCTTCAATGGTCCCTTTAGGATCTTCAATCCAAAGTCTGCCTCTTAGAAAACTAGTGAGCCCAATCAGCAGGCTCGGGCTCGGTGCGTTCCTAAGGTCACGGTGACAGTCTCGGCCTGGTCCTGTCCTTACAGAAATGGCCGTAAAAGGTACCTCAGTGGGTAGGATGGCTCTCACAAAACCTGTCAGGGCTTCAACGAAGGAAGGTTGCTGTTCTGTAAGGCGAGTGGGGCAGTTGCTGAGGCGGGGGCTTTGTCCTACAATGAAAAAACGGTTATCCCCCTCGTCAACATCCCAAAACGCTGCAGGAACTTCCTTAGTGAGGGCAGCCAGGGCTTCACAGCGTGCAGGGAGCTCAAGGTCTGCAAAGGAACGGACGAACTGACGCGACAGTGTTTGCAACTTAGGCGTTGAGTCTGCGTGTACTGACATGAGCTTTGCAGGATCTTCGAAGCTCAGAGCCCGGGAAACTGCGATAGGAGGGATGGTTTGCGGCAAGGGTGGCTTCTTCAAGATGCTACAAGTTGACTTCACTGCATGCACTCAAAGAGCTAGCGCTGCACATGGTTTTGGCATGCATGCATCGAGAGAGTCAGCGTCATTACGAATTAAGCTGTCATGCAAATGCAAGGACGCCCACTAGAGTCTGCATGCGGCAGAATTAAGGGAGACATGCAGCCAGCAAATACAAACGGAAAAAGAGTAGAACGCGAAAAAGCTTGAGAACAAATCACTGCTGCATGTTCATGGGATTAAAGCCGAAGGCCTGCACCAGATAATGCAAGGCCTCCTGTGCTCGGGGATCCGTTTGCATGGCAGGAGGTCCCCACCTCAAGGGTAGAGATGCCTGCATGGGAGGCAAGTTCGCAAAAAGCGATAGGTTCTGTCGAGAGGGGAGTACTTCGCGCAAGTTCAGAACCGGAGGCTCAGGTTGGGGCGGCGGCGGAGTAGGTGCCGCAGCCGCTGCAGGTGTCGCAGACGAGGACGCCGCCGTCTCATCCTTGTCTTTGCCCGCCAGTCCCGTGGGCAGCGCCGGCGGCGGAGCTTTTTGCGGCATCGGTGGCGTCAAACGCCCAATGATCTTGTCCAGCTGGCCCTGCAGCTTCAACAAGACCTGTTGCACTCTCTCACTGGCATCCGCCAGGTCACCCAACTTGCTGTCGTGGGACTTGTGCGCATTGGTGTGATCCCAGACGATGTTGTTGGCCTGGTCCACACCTGTTTCCAGCCTGTCGAGCTGCTGTAGCGGCACGACGTTGGAAACCAGCTGCTGCAGCTGGGGCAGGACTTCCGAGCGAAGAGACTGGATCAACGCCTGGGTTTGCTTGATTCCAGCGGTGTTCCCTTGAAACCCATTGGCATCATTGAGTTTGCCATCTTTCACCGCATCCAGGGTGGCCAGGACATCTTTCTGAATTCCTTGCAACCCATCTGTCACTGCCTTCACGTGCTCCTGGCTGTTGGTGTCTCCAATCGCAGTCATCTCCGCTTGCAGTCCGGCGAGGACCGAAATAATGGAGTCACTGCGCGATTGAATTTCGCTGACCATCCAGGATTGCAACGATCCCTGGAAAAGATCCAGGCATTCTTGCATCGAATTCTTAATTTGCTTGCAAGTGCTGTCCCTCGACGAGTCCAGACTGGGCCCCCACACCAAAGGGAGCTTTTCACGTAGGCGCTCTTCCAGGTTCTGTCCAAGTTCCTGGGCATTCTCCTCCATGCTTTTCTCCAGGGCGCCGAGGCGATCTTCCATCGCAGTCATCATCTTTTGCTGGAGGGCGTCCATGGAGTCGTTGAGGCCTTCCTTCACCAAGCGTCGAAGGAGCCCAACATATTTCTCGTCCTGCGAGCGCGCCCATCGGCTATAGAGGAGCATGCAGAGAAGCAAAACGAAGAACGTCAAGGCCCCATGCACCACCATCTGAGCCCGAGTGGGCAAGAAGGGCCGAACGAATGCAGCGACAACCTCCTGGGAAAGATCCATGGCAGGCCTAAAGCTGGCACGTGGAAGATATGAAGGCGTTCGTTCTCTGAGAGAGCAAATGCTGCAAAACTCCAAATGGTCTCTCCACGGAGGAATGAGCCTAGTTGAGCTGGCAATTGGCAAAGGAGTCGGTCTGTAATGCACAGATCTGTTAGTACAGGGGTCCCAACATAAGGTCAAAGGTATGAGCCAAGTCTACAAAAGGGTAAGCATGTTGATACAGTTATTGGCATGGACCTAAAAAGGCAGACGTGGTGATGGATACGATTCTGGGTGTGGGGCGATGCCGTGAACCTGATGAAAGCAGGCATGATGATGAAACTGGAGGGGGAGGTTTATTCATCTAGTAGTGTTAAAGTGAGATTCATCAAGGAGCACAAAGCTGTGCCAAAATAACTGCAGTCAGGGACTCATCCTAAGGTGAGTTCCGACTACAAGTATAAGCAGCTTCATGAACCTGATGGAAGCAGGCATGGTGATGGAGACGAGGGGGGGGAGTTCAGGAGTTCAGCAAAGTGTTCCTACTACGAGTGCAAGTAGCTTCATGAACCTGATGGAAGCAGGCATGATGATGGAGACGAGGGGGGAGTTCAGGGGTTCAGCAATATAAATGACAGAATCGAGCTCAAGACTCAAACTCAAACTGAAGATCCAAAACACCTGTCACGGTGAACAGATTTCTTGCAGCAGCGTCCACAAATTCTGAATTATGTCAAGTGCAAGTATGTGCAAGGACTCTCATATATCATGCAATTACAAGGGGTTAATTAAAATGGGCGTGCCGTCATCTAACGTGACCCAGTGTTCTTGCTGAAGGTCAGAGGGAGGGTAAGGCGGCGGGGGAAGCGGCACCTCTGGTTCAGGGACCTCAGCTTCCTTCTCTGTACATGTTGGGGAGGCAACTTCAGGTTCCGAGCCACCATCGCCAGACTTCTCTGCAAGAAGTTGCCTGATCTTCTTCAGCTCGGACATGGCTTTAGCCAGAAGTTTTTCATGTCTCTGGACCACTGGGAGGATCTTGGACTCCATGCTCCCCAAAATCTGGACATTCTGGGAGAATAAGGATGTGACACTCCCTTGAAGGCCCTGAAAGGTGCGCATGCATGCTGCGTGCCTCTTCTCAGCCTTATCCACATGATCCTTGACAGCGACCCATAAACGGTCACACGCAGCTATAGACTGCGAGGTATGCGACGCAAAGATTGCTTCCTCCTTCTTGAAAATATCATCCAGCACATCAAAAACCTTGTTGACTGAGTCATGAAGAGACTCGGTCATAGGCTCCAGATCTAGGACTGCGTCTATGAGTTTGTCCATAGTCCTGTTCACCGCTCGTAGGCGGTGTTCCAAGCTGTCTTGGACACGGAGCAGCATGGCCTGCGTGTCCCTAGATCTGCTCCACAGTCTAGCCCCCGTTTTGGAGACCTCCTCAATCAAACGCTCAGGAAAAATACCTGGCCCTTCGATCAGAACAGGTGTGTCCAGGCGTGTTGCTGCAGAGCGAAGGGAAACAACTTCCTCTCCAAGAATTCGAAGTGTGCGGTTGCATCTAATTACATAGCGACATGCACATGCACTCATGCAAAGGAAAAGGAGGACCACCGCGCACAGCACAATCAGCAGAATCCAGAGGCCAAGCAGCTGGTCTGTGTCAAGTGCCGATAGATCCACAGTGAAAGTCCAAGACGTCCCTCTGCACGACGAGCCATGAAGCAAGGGTCGCAACCGGGGTATCGTAGCGGGGCAGGAATCCATTTCGGGTCCGCCCTGCCCCCCCCCTGCTTGGAAGTGCATGCTGCCCTCTCGAGAGGAAGACTGCGGCATGAGACGCTTTCGAAAGTTAGACCCGATCTTGCCAAAAGCTACGAACCTTTATACCAAAACTAAAAACACAGGGGATAGGGCAGCAAAGGAAAACAAAAGGGAGTTAGAAATTAACAAGCACTGCCACCATGGAAGGAGGGACTGGGCGGGTTCCGACACCTCGGCAAAACGAGCCAAAGTGAAATCCCATGATCGGTAGAGTTATTTGCGAGGCCTCATCTTGACTGCGTATTTAGCTGCCGAATCAGCAAGTTCATTCAGAGGGTCCCCTTTGTGTGCCCGAACATGACGTGCAAGTACGGATGATTCAACGCGGGCCCAAGCCTGCCTAAGTTGAGAGACTTCTGCAATGTTGGACGTCGTGATTATTCCGTCCGCTAGAACCTGTAGCACATGCATGGAGTCCGAATGAAACTCAATGGAAATCCCCGGCACATCTCGCAAAATCCTGTGTGCCAAAGAAAGCCCGGTGGTTGCAGCTATAAGTTCCGCGCGGATGTTGGTACATCGGCCAGAGATAGGAACCGACACCATGACCAGATCTTCGGGGATGCGCCCATAAGGCGGTAGGATGGCAAGCCCTCCACCACCCTCATAGTTATGTGCACTACCGTCTGACGAAATTCTGCAACAGGCCTGATTGGTTGTGTCGTCGGGGGCAGACACAAACGTGTACGGGGATGGGTGCGGACTTTCAACCGGTACGTGACGGAATGGCAGTAACCAAAATTTTTCTCCAACCTGAAGAAGTGATCTTCCCAAGAGCTCCACGCTGGACAGATCAACGAAAAAACCCGTGGGGTGTGGGAATTGCAGAGCAATCCACTCTCCTGTGAAAAGCTTCCAATCCTCTCTATCCCGGGCCTGCGGAATCCAGTTCCCGAGTCGGGAAGTGCGTTCCCAAGCAAGCTGGATAAAACGCACTGCATCAGACCAGTAGCCTAGGCGTCGCCTGGTTCTAGGGTGTGCCTGCAGCCAGTCAAAGTCTCGAAATCCTGCAACTTTCTGAATTGGTCGACGATCGAATTCGGTGTACCTGGCAGCATGTCCCCAATAGCGAAAAAAGAGTGTTGCATGCGAGATAGCCCACCGGGTATGCCCGGTCATTTGAATTACCATGCGAGCAGCACGACGGCGCGATATCCAATTATGTAAATGTGGTTGCAATGGGTCAAAGGCCGGTTTCAGCATGGAGGTCACTAAGCTCGTTTGCAAAATGTCCAACATGTTCCTCACCTCAGTCACAGGACGAAAGGCCGCACTCATCCATCGCCATTTGTTGCCAACAAAAGCCTCAAAGAGGTGCAGCCTTTTGGCAATGGGGGTGGTCCCTCTACACAGGAAGGCAGAGTGGCCCCAAAAGGCACCAGTGGCCCCCGCGAGCCTCCTGGATAAGGTAGTCCCGCAACTTAAACCAAACCCCACCAAGACTCCCAGGAAGAGGAAGGAAAGTTGGTGCTTGATGTGTTCCTCTTGTCGGGCCCCCGGTACAATAAGGGGTGTAGGATCGAGACCTGGCGAGCACAGAAATTGACACTTTTCTAAAGCAAGACGCAGGCCTATCGATGCCAAGGTCTGCTTGACCTGGCTGATCATGTCAACCAAATGCTCTCGGGAGCTGGCTAGCAACACCATATCGTCTGCATACACGATCGCGTGAAGGGAGACTCCTCGCTTATCCTTGATCCAAGTAGGAAAAAGAGCCTGCCAGGTACGGAACAAGGGGGCCAAGTAAAAGTCGAGCACACGTGCGAAGAGCTCCGCTGAATATGCAGACCCCTGTTTGAGCCCCTGCAAAAGGGGCTGTTCCCAGGTTTCCCCCCCCAATGGAGAGAACGGTGCTGGAAGACACAATCAACTGAAGGAGCAAGAATGCCTCTCTAGATGCTCCCATTTGGCAGAGGTAACGGGCCACCGCCTCATGCAACAAGGTATCGAACGCCTGTGCAATATCTAATTTAGCAGCGTACAAAGACAATCCCCACTGCTGGGATTGACGAATGACATGCTGTAGGGCCATAGACCCATCTAAGCTCTGAGCGCCGGGCAGCCCTGACAGTTGCCCAGAGAGCATTGGAGGGAAGATGGATCGCCTGCGAAACAACAAGAGCTTGCTAAATAGCTTGCCGGGTGTGGAAGAGAGAACTATAGGCCTAAGGTCCTTGGGTGCAGCAGGGAGTTTGACTTTCGGGAGAAAGACAACCTGCGAGACAAGCCATGAGCGCGGGAGCGGCATGCAACCATGCAAAATAGAATTAAAAAATGCAATGAATTTGCACTGCAGGGATGATTGCAAAATAGAATGCATTAATTCATAAGGGATTCCATCGGCCCCCGAGCTCTTGCCTGCCTTAGTGGTGTCAAGGATTCGTTGCACTTCCTCCACCTGGAAGGGCTCGGCGTTGGGGACTTCACCCACAGAACTGGTATACAGGCTGAGGGCAAAACCTGAGGGCTTGGGATCAGTGGGGGTATACTTCCTGGCATAGAATTGTTTAAGGTCGGAGACTGCCTTATGGAGGCCTCCCGCTCTCATGATATAGCCTCCATGCGTCGCCTTAGTCGATTGCCGACGCTTGAAAAAGCTGATGGCATGGAAGTCGCCGGCTGCCCCTTTTTCGAGAATTGACGTGAGCCATGCCTTCTTTGCAATAGAGCGGGCTTTGACAATCGCCTGACCCAGTTGTCTGGCATGCGCGCCAGTGGCCGTCCTTCTTTCAGCAATCAGAGCCTTTAGATCAGGACTATCTTGGTACCGATAAGACCTGGGGCGGTAGCAGGCTTTGTCGCTTAGCCGCGCAATATGTTCCATGGACAGAGGGCAGTCCAGCAGTTCAAGCTGTTCTGCCAAACCAGAAGAAAATTCTTCCGCCTGAGTCAAGTTGACCCTCCACTTGCCACACTTGTTTCGCTCTTTGTTAGGGGAGTAGCGAGCATTTCTACCCCCGGGGGCTTCGAAATGTTTCCTAATCCCAATCGCGCAGCAACGATGGTCTGAGTTGAGGAGCACATCCGACTCTTCGCACACCTCAGAATGTAGCATGCGAAATTAAGGATCCTAATGGGTAGAAAATGTAGTCGATGGTGGACTGAGCTCCTCTCGTATTTCTCCAAGTTGGGATGGAGGGATACATCCTGTCAAGACCAAAATGCCGCACAAAACCCTCAAGCAAAACCCGCCTTTCATCATTGTTTTCCATGTCTAGGGCCTGGAGGTCAATGTTGAGGTCAGACAACAAGAACACATCGTCCGAAAAGCGAACCCCATGCAACAAATTCCGGAGCTGCTCGAGCTGTTCATGCCACACTCGCAAGCAATCTTTGCGCTGTCTGTGGGGCAGGTGCAAACTAATTATGAATTCCTTGCACCCTCCTCGTTGAATGACAACGGCCAAACCTGTCTGGAGAGGAACAACTTTAATTACATGCTGCAGGTCTCCGAGGGGAATTCCAACGACAGTGCCTCTGAAACTATCGGGTGGGGAGCAATAGAAAGTCATGAAGGAAGATTTGCCCAGTCGGGTCTCTTTTTGATCCCAACCTTGCAGGGGAAGGTCCTTAAGACCCCCGACTTCCTGAAATGCAAAAAACTGAATTCCCTCACCACCCAGAAGATCCCAGGTATCCGAAACATCATCAAGGGATTTGCCCCTCAAGTTCCAGGTCCTGAGATACAGTGTCTCAGAGTGGCAGGGTGCGCACCCCTACGGGCGCGATGTTGTCCTGGATTGCCAAAGGCTCTCTAGGGTCTCAGGGGGATGTCCTGTGGCGCGCGAGAACTTCTCAGCCTGGATAAACCAGCCCGAGTGGTTGCCACGGCTATCAGTAAGAGGAAGGTCGTGGTCCTTCAAGTCAACTTGTTGGGGATGACCGAGGATGTTAGTGTTATCGACGAAAAGTTTCCCCCTCCAGTCAATCTCTGCGTGCCTTTTACGAAGGCCATTGCCGAAAGTGAGTTGGTCGATGAACTCTTTGACGCTTACGATAGCTCGAATTTTAGCACGGTCCTCGGGGTTACGGTGCCTCTGAATCCAAATGGTGCGCCCTTCATTGCCGGGGATGTTGCTGGACCACTTGCGCTTTTTAAGTTTCTCTAGAACCTCAGTCTGAAAAGCTCGCTGTTGGGGAAGCTTCTTGCAGTGCTCAGGGAATGAGAGAATTACCCGCACATGCGAAGTACGGGAATAGGACGACCAAATCTCTTGCCAAACATTGGGCAGCTGAACTGCCTCAAAAATGGCTTTAGCCTCCTCCACAGCCTCGTCTTTCTTGCAGTCCTCCCAGCCACCAATGACGAGCTGTAATTCTTCTTCCACGTCTCTTTCGCGGGGGGGGGTGAGACTGCGATCGCCAGGACTACGAGGGTTGCGGTTAGGAGTGGGGGACCGTGAAGCAGCACGCAGTTCCCGAACTTCACGTTCCAATGCCGTCAGTCGATGACCCGTATTCTCATGCAAGGTGGTATGCTCACGAATAACAGCGTCATGCGTGTCAACTCGGATTTCCTGGGCCCTGAAATCTGAAGCAATTTGGGCAAGTTCACGATGCATTTCAGTGTGTCTGGCACTAATATCCGAGACGTCCTGCTTAAGGGGCTCCAAATGCGCCAAAATACGTCCTTCTAATGCACCGACCCAGGGCGGCGTATCAGCCTCATATGGAGCAACTCTATCACGTCGGGCACGCACCGGGTTCGGGGGGGCAGGAAGGGACTGCGCCGTCCGGAGTTCATCAGGAGGGTCCAGATCGTAATACTCGGCGGCCCCGCGGCGGTCCTTAGCAGAGCGCTCACCTCCAAAACCGGGCGGCTCAAGGCGAGGAAGCTTAGGAGGGGGGGGCTTGCGCGATGACTCGCTTCCGGAACTCTCTCCCGCACTCTTGCGGACAAGCAAACGCTCAAGGGCGCTTGCATGATGTCCAGCCGAGGGGAATTCCAGGGTAGCGGGCCCCGGGATCAGTTCCTCCGTGCTTTTTCGACGAGGGGGGATTCTGCAGGCATCTTCGTTCTTAGGCTCACGAGGAACCGGCGGCTCACTCTCCAATTTCTCCGAATTCACTGAATTAGCTTCAATTTCTGATTTAATTTCATGCAGGATATCATGCACGCCGCCTACAGGTTCCGGGACAGGCGTGGAGGGCCCAGTGGACAGATCTGCTGCAGTCCTAGCAGGAACACGTACCCCACCTTCTTCATCGATCTCAAGACTATCTGTCTCAGCCCCCTCATGGTCACCAGGTCCCACAGGCTCAGCTCTTTCGCCTACCAGACCGAAGGGAACAGTAGTAGCCTGACTGTCAGCTATGCGACGAGCATGCGGGCATTCCAAACGCTCCACATCAAGCCCAGGAAAAGCAGAACTCCCTTCCAGACCTAGCCCAGCGGGAAGGCTATGGGGAGCAGCGGCCGCATGCCCTGAAATCATCCCTCTCAAGGTCACGAAAAGAGAGAAGAAGGAGAGAAAAGAGGGAGATAAGGCAGCGAACCTGGGACGTCCCTAGTGACTTGAGCCTTGAGCCAAAATGGCTTGAGCCATTTGGTTTAGGGTTTAGGGTTTAGTTCCCCTCTCGCAGAGCGAAGGATCTAGGCCCACAAAGCGCACTTCACACTCTCTCAGGTCCATCCGCCCATCCTGTCAACTTACCATGCACCGGGGGCTGCGCGTGGAGCCGCTGAGGCTGCCTCCGGGGGAATTCATAAACCTGCACACCAGGGGGCACATGCAACGGAGCCGCTATTGCAGGGTTTGGGGTTTTAGGGTTTGGGTTCAGGGTTTAGGGTTTTAGAATCACACTCACGCCTGTCCGTCGGACTGGGCAGTGGAGATCCCCCTTGCATCGGTGACCCGGGAAAGGGCCTCAAGGGTCCGACAATGGTGCACTCGAGCACGCTTCCTGCCCGATGAGACCCGGGCAGGCTCCCCATGCTCTCATCCGTCGTCGTCTTGATGAGCATGGGCTGCCTCTCCGATCCTCAGCTCAAACTTTTGGGGGAGCCTGACTTCTGAATATCGGTTGTGACATGTTGTGACACAGAAGACATGGAGACATGTTCCCCCAGCAAGAGCGAGAAGGATTTTCTGCACGGGTGCGTTTGACGCATTGGCACACTAGGTGCGGCACTTTGTGGGTCCAAGCCTGTTTCCACATCTTGCCTCAGCTGTACCCCAAGCAGAGCCGAGCATCTCAGTGCTGGAGAAGGAAAGAGGAAGGCCCGGTCCGGTCCAGCTAAGACAGGCCCTGGGTGTAGGGTATATGGTTGTATGGGCCGTTCTCTAAATTTGGGTTCCCTATTAGGGTCCTTTGTGTAAGGGTGCTGTACTATTGGCAATTCACTTTCCTGGCCTACCATATATAAGGAAACCATCTTGTAACTTAAATTAAATCCCTTAAGTAACTTAAACTAAATTCCTTGTCCTTCCTGGCCTACCGCGTTGAACGGTTTTTGGGTTTTGTTTGGTCCAGGCCCGGAGGTCCCGACTAGGGTTTGCACTCACACTCGGACCAGCAGGGGAAATGTCACCTGTGGGTTTCAGGAGTTTAGGGTTTCAGTTAGGGTTTGGGGTTTAGGGTTGCCACCCATCGCCCATGCCACGTACACAGGCATCGTCGTTCGTTTCACCCTTGGCCTTTGGCCAAATGTACCTGCTACTTTCATGCGGCCCCATGCTGCAAGAAGGATCTAACGAGTTGCGTTTGTATCGTGCCGGACAACATGCTTTACAAATTAGCAACATGAATGCCGCAACCGGCTCACAGCCGTCTTGACTGCGGAAGCCAAGCTGTGAAACATGCGTTCAGCATCGTTCACATCTCCACCTGGCCGCAGAACTGTCACTTTCCCTCGAAGCCACGGGATCAGAACTAAGATGAACCAAGTCAATCGCTCTTCGGGTCTTCGCAGGTCCTGGCACTACCCGTCACTACCCGTTCTCGCCAAGACCGCTTGAGACGCTCAACCCTCTCCCCTGCCATCGGAAGCCCTCCCAGCGAAGAGCGCGAAGCTCAAGGCAGGGCAGGCCTTGCGGCCGCAGGTTACGCAGCAGAGCGCAGCAGCGCTCTGAGGCCTTTTTTTGGGGCACTCCAAGAAGCGCGGAAGTTGCAGACATGCAAAGCCCTGGCGCCTTCGGATCTTGCAGGGCGAGTCTCCAGACTTTGCTGGCTTCTCTCGGCTCGTCCGGCCTCTCAACTCACCGCAAAGAAGAGCATCATGGGAATTTCTCGTTCTGAACGGAAGGACTTCCGGTTTTTGACGGCAAATCGCTGTCGCAATCCCCTTTGACTCCAGATGCTCGCACGGCACTGCAAGACATGGGGTCACCTGTAGCCGTCCGCGGTCGGAGCAAGTAGCGGCTGTGAGCCTGGGTTCGTCGAGACTCACGGCGACAAGCATGGATGGGGCAAGAACCTGCCTGCTTGCACATATGGATGTAGCCAACCACAAAAAACACTACATTTAGCAGACGATGAATACGTGCACTTACCACCCCTGAAGATCTTTGAAGTTCTACCGGGGCTTAACCTGTTGCGATCTGTCTTGCACCGGCTACCAGAGTCACCAGAGACTGCGCTGGTTCCCTCGCTCCCCTGCCATCTTTCATTCCCATGACGAAGTACTACTACCGCTTTCATGGTCTACAAGCTCCAGCGGCTTCTCTGCTGGTTGATGCAGCTCTTAGACGGCGCTTTGCATATTGTATATAGCTTCGGCAGGTGGGCATGCAGGCGGACGGATCTATCGTTTGCATCCTCGTAGCTGCATCCAGGCTCTCCGCAAAGAGGCGCAGACCTGCCGGCTCTTTAGTGGGCAAAACCCTTTGCCTGAAAGCCTTCAAGACCTCGGACTGTGGTGTTGGACACTTCTTCGGATGACTTGCGATGGCGGGCATCATGCTCAGATGACTGGTGTCAGTTCAGCGTCGTCCTGGCCACACAAGTTGGGGGCTGAAGTCAGACAGTTTATTGGCAAACATGGTGCTTTGTTTCCAGCTGGGCTTTCTTTCCAGCTGTAGCCGAATTTATGATAGTCTGAAAAAATAGTTCAAATACATGCAGCACCATCTCACAAGCGCGCGAACAGCAGCAAATGCACTGTTCCGACACCGTTTCAACTACACTCTCGTCTACTGCTACTGTCTGCCTACCGATGGCCTGTCCCACATGCCCGACTGCCAAAATCTGTCAAGCGCTCAAACCCTGCAACGCGAACTAAGTACCTCTGGTCTGTAAGTTCATCGCACGAGACTGATACAACCACTTAATAATTGTTCCATGCCCCGTACTCCAATGCTCAACCATGCTACACCACTTTGTAACACCACCCCTCCTCAAACACTAAACATCATGCACTAAACCCCTACACCTTCAAACCTAAAACCAAACCTGATGCCCCAACCCTATATATAGCCCTATAGATCCCTGAACCGTATATGTAAGCCTCTACTACATGCAACTCTTACACCCAGAGAGAAGGCCTCGACGGCGCGCCACGGTGGCGGCCGAGGCTGCCGGCGCACTGCGAGGCCGAGGCTGTGTAGCCTCCGGGGAAGTCTCCGGGTACTTTCGAAGATGTACCTTTATTTGGGGGCTTCCGAACATAGGGGACCCTAATATAGTACCCTAAATAGTAGGATCCTTATTCTCAGGACCCCAATATAAGGTACCCCCTATTTTCGGAAGCTCCCATTTTGAGCTTGACTAGAGAATGTAATGTACGAGTACCCATTTGGGAAGCCTCTGCAAGACAGAAGGTGGTTTTTTCCGGTCCCAACGAGGAACCGGTGGAAGAAGCTGCAAGAGAAGGGGCTTAAGATGCCATGCTGTCTAGCGTGCCTCCACGTACCTTGAATATCGAACCCACAAAAACCCCGCACACACTTGAACTTAGTTATAGTCTGGGGGGAGTTGCGGGACTTCTTCGAAGCGCTCCAGCGGCTGGAAGGTTGTAGGACGATGCTTCAAAATCACTTCAACGCTGCTCCTAGCAGCTTCCGTCGTAAGCGCAAGGCTTTCCAGGGTGTACTGCTCGTATGTCACTACGTAGTTGGGTCAGGGTGCTTCTTGCTGCTTATGGAATGACAACGTAGGATTATCCCGGATGTTGTAGGAAGAGCGCAGCGCTCGCTGCGAAGCCTTTGCAACCTCCGGCTGTTGCCGAACTGGAACCGGCGGAGGCCGCCGGAACCTGCCAAAGTGACCAGGATGATGTTCCTCAGGTGGGTGGTTGTCAAAACTATGGTCCCTTATTGGGTACCCTAAATACTAGGAGCCGTATTATATTAAGCACCCAAAAAGGGACCTTATTTTGGAGAGCTACCCATGTGTCTTTCGCCGTGCAGAACTTCGAGCTTCCAGGCGAGTGTTTTGGCCTACAGTCAGTGGCGGCGGTGCTGATGACAACGACTGCCGCAAGCACTCTAGTTACGAGTAGGAATAGATTCCCATGTCCTCTTCTGATTCGGCGGCGGGAGATTGTCCTCGTCGTCATCCTGTTCGCTGTCGTCATCCTTGTCGTTGCCGTCGTCATCCTCTTCGTTGATCGTAATAGCAGCAGCAGCAGCAGCAGTAGCTTTTTTGTTAGCGGTCGTCGTCGTCGTGGTCGTCATCGTACCGCCGACACCCCGGACGCCCCCTCTGGCAAAAAGACCTATCATCGTCTGACACTCTTGTGTGCTAAAACTCATGCCGTGTTGGTTGTCTTACGCTGGTTTTCTACTTTGCTTGGAAATTTCATTTCCTTCTTGAAGCCAACAGCGTCGGTATTCACAGTATTCATGTTTCTGAGTTTCTGATCGTGGCGGTGACCCGGTAGTGGCAGCAGGAGCAGTTGCAACACTAGCCGTCATCGTCGGCGTTGTCGTCGTCATCAATGCCGCCACTAAACACCATTGCCATATGCCTCTGCGCCCTGCCATAACCCTCATCAATACGGAAAGTCATTGACTTCAACATCATCCTGCCCATCATCGTCATACTCACAGTCACCATTACCATCTTTATCACCATCGTCCTCATCATCGTCATCAGCAACACCCACACAGTATTTCAAGGATCATCTTGACGATCGTCATGATCGGCCACCTCTCGGCCATCTGACGTCGATGCTGCGCCAAACGTCGGTCGCGTATGCGACAGCGTTCAAGCTCGGCCTGTCGACAAGTCTCAGCAGCAATGCAGTGGCTGGGTCACGAATAAGGCTCTTCCGTTCGAAACAAACCCACTGTGCTCCACTTGGCTCATTCGATGAATCGACCATGTAGTCACGATTGATTTTGGGCAGCATATGTTCCTGAACGGTCAAGGTTGTCCGAAAGACAAGGAGACGGGAGCTAGCAGGAAGCTTCAGCCTCTGCCGTCGCACCGTGGACTGTCGTTTTTGTCCGATGAGCTTGAGGAGCTGCTACCCTTTCCCGAGTTTCAGCCTTTGGTGGCTTGCTTGGCCCACAGAGTCTCCCCACATTCTGCCCTTGTCGAGCCGCGGCTCCTCCAATGAAGCCTCCTCACCGTTCACCCGTGACCTTCTTCCAAATGCCATGATTCAATGATCTTGCTATGCATTTGGGCAAGAGGGCAGCACCGCGGAGGAGGACTTCCTGAGACCTGGCGCCGTTTCTACGGGAGAGCGCTTCTCTCCAGGGTGATGCTGTGGCCCGCAGGCCTACACAAGGAGCCATTCCTGCCTGCTTGGCCTTCTCCTGCTGCTCTGCATCCTGAAAGCTGAGGCTCCATGGAGGCGCTGAGAAAAAGAAGCACGACGCGCCAGCCGAAGAGTGAAAGCAGGCTGGATTCGTGCATGAACGTCTAGATCCTGCTCCCGCAACTTCCGCACCATCTCGGCCTGCGGCGGTTCTCTCCTACTTGGAGGGTCGAGAGACTTAGTAAGCGGGTAATAAGTAGACTTTACAAGTACCCTGAATGGGGTCCTACTTGGGGCTACGATACTTATAAGTCTATACCTCCAAGTACTCGGACCTGGTGTACCAACTTAAGTTTGGCTCGGCGCTGACTGTTTCGGGCCTCGACCTTACTCCTTCTCCCTCCAAACCCTCCCTGTAGCCGGAAAGACCTACCTTTTTTCAGGAACTGTATATAGAAACCATAGTAAGGAACCCTTAAGAAGGTAGGCCTTTTCGGCTACAGGTAACCCCAAAACCCCTTTTTTTCTGATCCACCCTATACTGGTTCTTGTCGCATGGCAGGTGATGGCCTCAGCCGCGCGCCGCTTCTTTTCGGCGGCGCTGACGCGAGCCTCCCGGCATAGGAACATACTGTGGGAGCCTTCATAGAACAGGGTCTTGGGGAAAATGGTACATATAGGGACTATAGGGACAGCTACTAAGTCGAGTAAATTCATGTCATAAGAGCAGGGCAGCCAGGAAGTATGCCCAATGTCCTGCATGGACTCATGTGCCTAGCATTGTTGCTCTCCGTCCATGCCAACGGAGACACCCCCAAGGCCGCCACAGCCCCTTGGAGTGGGACCGAGGATTTAGGGGCATCGTACTCATGTGGGTAGTTCTCTAAACTAGGGTCCCTTTTTTATATGGGTGCCCTACTGTATTGGGGGCCCAAAAAAAGGGACCCTGGTTGCCAGAGTTGGACTTCAGAGGATGATGCCTTTTGACACTTGCCGAGGTCCTAGAGCTCAGGGATCCCGTGGTCTGCACCTCAAAGGCAGCCAGCGACTCGGCGCGCGCTGCGGCTCGTTCCTGGATGCGGAATCGGGTTGGACTGGGACTCTCTCGGTCCCGAAAGGGTGTCATGGCTGTCTCCCAACTCCGGTCGGAGCACGTGCAGCATCGAAGCACGTCTTCAGGGAGCAGCAAGAGCAGTGCAGTTCACCACCCCAAAAGCCGACAAAGCAAGGAGCTGCAAAGTTCAGATGCGCCTGCTGCACGGCTGCCATTTCTAGCTCCTCAGACTGGCTGATATGGCAAGAGCACAACTTGCTGTGGCCGTATAGAACGGGTCCTGGCCTCCGTTCTGGCTCCAGCTGACCACTTGGGGCTTCTTGATAAGCAGTAACCGTTTCTTCTTCGGGTCAATGCTCCCCAAAACTACAGGTAACCGTTGCCTCTTTGGGTGTACGCCGGTTTATGCGAACCAGCTCTAGGACTCCCATCATCTGCCGCAGGCTCCTTCTGCTTCGCCAGCTTCGCCTTCGCGGCTTGCTCCAGCTGCTGCCGGTACTGATGGCGCTGAATCTTTTCGGTGAGCTCCTGGATTAAGGGCTTGGGATTAGAGTTTAGGGTTGAGGGCTTAAGGTTCAGGGTTTAGGGGAGCTGGACCAAGCCAGACTCACGATGCCAATGATACTGCTCATGGTAGCAGCGGTGTGATGCTGTAAGTCATGGTGGTGCCACATCTCGAGTTCAAAGCACCAGCAATGGACCTCCACTTTCTGTATCTTCTCTGCGATCATGTCCTCAATAATCGCCTGCAGCACTGCTGGGCTGCCGTTCTGCGCCATCCCTCGACCCACTAATGGCGCAAAACGAAAGATTCCGGCTGCTGGTGCACGGCGAGTGAGGTGCGGACAGGAAACGCTCTTGGTGTGCCACTGCTGTTGGTCAGCAACACTTTTGCCTTAGCATTCGCCTCTCAAGGTGCTGCCTTCGTTCCGGCAGGGACAAATGGCTGATCACAAGCCTTGATGGCACATTTTGTGCCAGACGAGATTGCAAGAAAAGTCATCTACGAGGCTTCTACAGAATTGTGCGCCAGGCGACTACGGCCAGCTACATGGAAGATCTCCGGGAGGGTTTTGCTCCCGCGGTACATGCAGCGCTTTCTACAGGTACGTCAAACTTTCTTGTCCATCGCGTCGCCCTGAAAGTGCGGAGCACGAACCTGGCCCCGCAAGCAGGTGGAAGGACTCCCAGTGGAAGAGCCAGGCCTGAGGTTCGGGATCTGCCAGAATCGGCTTCTTCTCTTCCTTGCTGGGCCCGTCCATCATTGCCCTGAACCTGCAGTTGGCGACGTGACGGTCGAACCTACAGCGTGCGGTTGCGTCCTTTGCCAACCTCGACTCCGTGTGAACCCATCGAGCTTTTGTGGCTTGCTAGGCTTTGCATCAACCGAGATCTCACCGGGGTCCCCAAAATAGTCCTTTTAGGGTTTGGGGGGGGCGGGGGGACCTCTGACCTAAAGCCAGCGGGTGAGCAAAGCTTCAGCCAAGACGCGACTTGTAGAAGAGGGCCGAGAAGATGAGCAGCAGGCCCAAGATCTGCCAGCCCGTCACAGGATTGTGATATTTCACCTCGGGCGCTTTTCTATTACGGATCTCGCTTTGCTTCAGAAGCCCCAGTACAGCAAAATACAGCAAAACAACCGCAACTCTGCATCAACCTTGGACCAAAAGGTGCACTCTACTTTTTCCCTGCTCGTCGGTGGCCCTGGGCAGTACCTGTCTCTTGTCGACAAGCATGCGGGGAACATGGCACAAACAGAAGTCAGTGTTGGGCATCGGTGTTCAACATTCGCCCCCGTTCTTCCCCGACCATCCAAATTTGCACTGCGGGCACTGAGGGTCGACAGCCGGGCCCCCGCCATTCCGGAGCTTGCTGGTCCCAATGTAGCAATCTCTCCACTCGTCTGGAATGCTGATCTCATGTTCGCCGCACGTGAAAATCAAGTAGTTCTCACAGTACAGGTCATCAGGATGCGGCACACCGTTTGGAGCGCTTAACGAGCCTTCAAGTGTAAGGCAAGGCGTGTCGGTGTCGACCCCTCCCTTAGCACAGCCACGGGGCATCTGATCCTTGGACCCGTCGGGGCGCTTTGGGCATGTCTTCCCCGTGTACACCCGCTTCTCCCCTGTACCGGGCCGGAAGCAGCAGCAGGTGCCCAAGGTCTCATTGGCCTTGTGGGCTGGCCGAGCTGCCTTGCCTTCCAGGATGAAGGAGAAGAGGAAGAGAAAGAGCACGCGATGCATGGCTCGAAAAGGATATGATACTCTGCGTTTCACAAACGAAAGCTGCGAGCCGGGCAGCTTCGATGTCAGCTGGCTCATGTACACTCTCAAGACCTCTCAAACGAAACGAAGAGACGGCCAACCCCCCCCCCCGAGTGAGGAGTCAAAACTGTAACAAAACTGTAATTGTAATCCGGAACAGGCTGAACCTCTGCTGTGAAATCACTCTTTTGCGGCTTGTCCGGAGCCGTAACATCACCTTCACTTGTCGACAAGCCTGGGGAGCATGGCCAGCAGAGATAGAAACAGAAGGATCTGAGCTTAGCCTCAGCAAAGGCCTTTCGACTTCCAAGGATCGCCTTGGCACTGCGGGCACGCTTCGTTGACCTGGCCTCCATTCGTCCCCTTGTAACACTTTGACCACTCATCCGGGATGGTAATCCCGCCGCAATCTGCGTCAGGTTTGAAGTTCTCACAGTACATGTCATCGCGATCCGGTACGCCGTCTTTGTTGTCTCCGTTGCTCTGGCATGCGATCGCCACGTCGCCCGCCTCCTTTGCACAGCCACGAGGTAACTTAGCCTCGGACAACTTCTCCCGCGCAGGGCAAGGCTCCCCGTCCGCGAGTGGCGTAAACTTCCGGAACTCATTTCTACCAGGCAAGAAGCAGCAGCACTTCCCGACAGGGTCCTCGGCGTTGATGGCTGGCCGAACTGCTTTCACGACCGAGGAGAGGAGGCAAAGACTGAGCAAAGAGTACTGATCTTGGATTTCTCCGACTGCGAGCCAGGCTGCGGACATGTGCCCACTTGCCGGGCGTTGAAACGAAGAGACCGCAGGGCAACTTAGAAACCCAAATTGTGGAAATGAAGCCCCAACCTAGCTCGACTCCTGCTTTGCCTTGCAGCCTTCGCACAGACCTCTTCAAACATCCGGAAGTTTTCGATGCCAAATGGCGTACGAGACCATGATTGACACCACTTGCCGCACGTTCATCGTGGCAGCAAAGACGAGGGCTCCAAACTCCTTGATCTGCGAGTAAATGAAAAACCTCGGACAAAGATTCAGACTATTGTTATTATTGTTGTTATTACTAGTGTTATTACTATTATCATAGGTAGTTGTACTAGAAGTAGTAGTACTAGTAGTAGTAGTAGTAGTAGTAGTAGTAGTAGTAGGGTGTCCCCCCCCGGTGCGACGCCCAGACCTCTTATTTTTTGGCTTTTTTGTGGTCGGAAATGCTGGTATTTACAGCACTTTT